TATTTTAAAACTTAGGTAATTGAATCTAATGCCACTTGTGTAGCATTAATCTATTTATATTTATAGTGCTTAATTATTCATGATTGAAAAATAAAATTTCATAATATTTCTAAAAGAATGAAATTGGGTAAGGAAAGTGACTTGTGACTCCTATTTTACTACAGATTAGGAATAGAAAATCCAGTATGACCAAAAAACCAAAGTTTGACCATTTCTTTTTGGTATTATGTGCCAGAGAGCAGACATGGGAAGAAAAAACAAAACCAAGAATTTAATTGCAATCATCTCCTAGTTTTTCCAAACCCATTTGTGTTGGGATAGATACAGTTTGTCTTTTTCTACCTCAAGACTTAACAAGTTTTGCCCGTTATAATTTAATTCCCAAGTGATTCCCTTTCAAATTGATATTCTTGGAAGGTGGTTAAAAACAAGGAATTTAAAGGCAAATATCAAGTTCACAAAAGCTAAAATATAAGGTGTATAAATTTCATTTACTCCTTTAGGATTATAAATGAAAAAGTTTTATAGCTGAATATACACATTTATAGTCCTTGGACCTGCAATATTTAACAATCTGTCAGAATGTACAAATTTTAAAATCATATTTGAGTTACTAAATAACTGAAAAGTAAAAATCAATGATTTCAAATCCTGATTCAGGTTTCATAAATAGGGTGTATATATTTTCTATACCCAATTTTATATATACAACCACATACATGTATTTATATGGGTTTTTTCACATGAACATGAGTTATGTATTTATATTTAATTGCAGTAAAACATGTCGCAACTCTGTCGGACTTCATTGGAAATCAAAGACGGCATTCTTCTTGGTGAATGAAGTCTTAGGTGGGCCAATAATTTTTTTTGGCATAAAGAAAGCACACACCTGAAAAATAATGTTCTTTGGAAATGATTTTTTAAATTGGCTGCAAATGTGTGGCTAGATAATTTCTTATTAAACTAAATAAAACAAGATTAATTCTGGCAGTTATTCAGATGGCCCACAGAAACATCTTGAATTCATTTGATTATGATAAATTTATGATTACTTTCCTGGAGCAAAAGCATACTTTAATCGTAACACTAACTCTCTCTCTCTCTATATATATATAATATGTGTATCATATGTATACACACATACACATACATACATACATATATGGATGAATGGCAAATACAAAGCTTCTCTTTAAGATTCTATTTTTTAACCATTTCCAAATGTTTCTTTAAAATGTTGAAGTTTTAATTTTTAATAATTACCAGGATATGAAATTTATCTGAATTCTTTGTCTCCACACTAGTTATATGCATGACTTCATATTCTTTGATAATCATCCATGGTTCATATGTTGGTACAGAGCCCATATACATTGTGCTTTTGCACATTTGACTATAAGATAATTAGAACTAAAACTGAACTTTGGTTTTAAAACTAAAATTATCAACTAAAGTTAAAAGGTAGAACGTATTTCTAACTTTCAATATAAGGAAATGAATCCAAATGATGTATGGCTGATCAGCTGGGACACTGGTTTACAACCAGGAATACATTGATTTTATCTCTTTGGAATACACAAATGCAAAAAGAATTAGAAATTGTAATGGAAAGACGAAGCTGCAAGAGGTTAAATTATAAAGAAAGAAATCATAAAGAAAGAAATTATAATGAAAGAGGAAGCCACTGAAGTGCCATGCATATTTACAAGACAGTTTCATTGAAGTATTATATGAGAACCAGGAAGGCACACATCATAAAATATATTTCAGTGAATTTTTATAATTCATTAGAGAGAATTCTGCCCTGGGATTGTCAGCTGTGTGGCCTTGGGAAAGCACTTAGTTTCTCTGTGTTTGTCTTCTGGGTTAAATAATACAGACTCCCACCCAGCTCTGAAATGTAAAACAGAATCAGTAAGGGCAACCTATTAAAGGTTGTAACTTTCAAGGTATACAACCCGAGACAATGACAAAAAAAACAAAACAAAAAAAACCAGGCATTAAGTCTAGACCTGAAATGTTGAGATGAACAGCTTTCTCTTTCACAATATTTTTCTCAAAAGAAAACATGCATTCTGGATGCAAACTTGTATTTACTTTGTAGGAATATGAAACATAATTATAAACACTAGGCAAAATAAACCCAAAGCTAAAAACTGTGTAAATTCTTTAGCTGTTTTTGAAAAAAGAATAAATTGCTGTATTTAAATCATTGAGAACTACGCCTAAATTTTCAATAAAAGCTAAGCATAGTTGAGGATCTTAAATTCTCATTGGACATGGAGGCATTTGGGAAAATGTTCTTTTTGGAAAGAGCAAGCTGCAAGAGGTTTAATTATAAAGAAAATATAATTAGCTATAAAATGGACCAATATTTACTATCAAAGAAGAAAATTAAGATAAATTTAATTAAATTTGCCACTAAGCAAAACTGTGGAGTGCTTTGCGGCTTCGTGCTTACAAAACTTAGGGTTTTTTCCTTTAAATATCAAAAACTTTAACAGGGCCTAAAATCACTGTCAGTGTCTGCGGGGTTAACCCAGAGGCCCTGTGCCTCCTTTGCTAATTAAAACCTTTGGTTCCTGCACTTACCAGGGCAGAAGGCTGTTTTAATGGCTCACCTGCAGGGTGGGTTCCTTGCAAAGACCAGGAAAGGGAAGGGGAGAGAAGGGATGGTACTGAGAGCCCATGCTGAGTCGCTGCTCTAAGGCAGACAAGATGAGAGACGGGGGAGAAGGGAATGCCTGAAGTGGGCAAGCGCCCCTGTCACTTTTATTGTTATAATTATAAGCTTGGCTACTTACTTGACTTATGATGAGTTCTTCAAGGGTAGGAATAGCATATTCTTTTTCATGTCTCAATGCATGGCACCCAGTAGACACCTGCCCCATTTATAAAAGGGATGAATAAAAGACCTCCATCTCCTTTGGGGATCCTTTCTCCACTAGTTTCATGTGTTAAGAGAATAGATCAAGAAATTCTTTATTTGAAAACTTTAATGACCTCTCTGGATTTTCCTCCTTAAGCTCATTCACACCTTGCAATGAATTATTTTGATCTAATAATATGCAAGAGTGCCTGGATTTCATGATTCACTGAGTGGAGCCTCAGACTGGAGGGGAGGGCTGTGAAGGGAAGTCCTCCTTGGGGTTGGGGGCTTTGGACTTGGGGGCTTTGGACTTGAAAAGAGCATCAGGGGGTTACCAGAACAAGGAAATGCATCAGGAGTTCAAGAAGCGTACTATACAAAGAACCACAGTGGTTACCACTACCGAGATTCCACTTTCCAAACCAACCCAGAGGGATTGGCAGCACAGGCCACCGAATGTTCTTAGAGATATTTAGCGTTTGTAAACATCTAGCAGTTTGCCAAAGCTGGTGTTTGGAGGCTGAGCCTGGAAGCTGCACATCTTGCTTCTCCCAAGTTACTAACCTGCACTATGTGGTGCAGATTAGCTGTGCTTTGAGTGTTAAAACCCAATTCCTGCTCCTCCTGAGTGGGAGGAGGAAAAGAGAGAAAGAAAAGAGGGAGAGGAGACCTCATTCTATGCCTCTCTTCCCCTCATCCTCTTTGTCATCAGTGTGTGCCAGTGTTACCTGCCCGCTTCACAGGACATTCAGAATATCTTCCCCTGCTTTTCCTGCCATGCTCCCATGCCACACACCTTAATCTTAACTAATACCATCCTTTCCAAGCTTGGAAAACAGGCTTTGCACTCATAGGTCTTTGGGGCCTGGCAAATTACCTACCCGCCTTCTTCTGAATATTTATGCCCAAATGCCAGGATGTCAGATGCCCGTCCACTCCCATCACAGACCACAACCGGCACGGGAGGGGTGTCCCGAAGGTACTCCAGGACAATCGAGATCACGTTCGGTCCTCCTTCCACGATGAGAGCCACCACCGGAACGCCTTGAAGTACTGAGAGCCCATGCTGAGTCGCTGCTCTAAGGCAGACAAGATGAGAGACGGGGGAGAAGGGAATGCCTGAAGTGGGCAAGCGCCCCTGTCACTTTTATTGTTATAATTATAAGCTTGGCTACTTACTTGACTTATGATGAGTTCTTCAAGGGTAGGAATAGCATGTTATTCTTTTTCATGTCTCAATGCATGGCACCCAGTAGACACCTGCCCCATTTATAAAAGGGATGAATAAAAGACCTCCATCTCCTTTGGGGATCCTTTCTCCACTAGTTTCATGTGTTAAGAGAATAGATCAAGAAATTCTTTATTTGAAAACTTTAATGACCTCTCTGGATTTTCCTCCTTAAGCTCATTCACACCTTGCAATGAATTATTTTGATCTAATAATATGCAAGAGTGCCTGGATTTCATGATTCACTGAGTGGAGCCTCAGACTGGAGGGGAGGGCTGTGAAGGGAAGTCCTCCTTGGGGTTGGGGGCTTTGGACTTGGGGGCTTTGGACTTGAAAAGAGCATCAGGGGGTTACCAGAACAAGGAAATGCATCAGGAGTTCAAGAAGCGTACTATACAAAGAACCACAGTGGTTACCACTACCGAGATTCCACTTTCCAAACCAACCCAGAGGGATTGGCAGCACAGGCCACCGAATGTTCTTAGAGATATTTAGCGTTTGTAAACATCTAGCAGTTTGCCAAAGCTGGTGTTTGGAGGCTGAGCCTGGAAGCTGCACATCTTGCTTCTCCCAAGTTACTAACCTGCACTATGTGGTGCAGATTAGCTGTGCTTTGAGTGTTAAAACCCAATTCCTGCTCCTCCTGAGTGGGAGGAGGAAAAGAGAGAAAGAAAAGAGGGAGAGGAGACCTCATTCTATGCCTCTCTTCCCCTCATCCTCTTTGTCATCAGTGTGTGCCAGTGTTACTTGCCCGCTTCACAGGACATTCAGAATATCTTCCCCTGCTTTTCCTGCCATGCTCCCATGCCACACACCTTAATCTTAACTAATACCATCCTTTCCAAGCTTGGAAAACAGGCTTTGCACTCATAGGTCTTTGGGGCCTGGCAAATTACCTACCCGCCTTCTTCTGAATATTTATGCCCAAATGCCAGGATGTCAGATGCCCGTCCACTCCCATCACAGACCACAACCGGCACGGGAGGGGTGTCCCGAAGGTACTCCAGGACAATCGAGATCACGTTCGGTCCTCCTTCCACGATGAGAGCCACCACCGGAACGCCTTGACCGATTCCTGCATTAAAAAAGGAAAGGAAAAGGAAAAAAAAAAAAAAGGGAAAAGAACACAAAGCCAGCAAACCAAAGAAACAAAAAGAGAAACAGAAAGCACAAACTAAAATTACTGAGCCTGGGGGAGGTAACAATATATGAAGGGATAAAAATGAAAATCTACAGAAAATCCTTCCACAGGATTTTCCCAGCGGACTCTATTCGATGCTGTTGTCCTCTGCCCGCAGCTCCCGGAGCGCAGGGTCCGTTAAGGCTCTGATTGCTTTACTTTCAGGGGTGGGTGAGCGGTGGGAAAGGGAAAGCAAGAAATGGGTTAGTGGGTGAAGCTCTGGGCCCGCAGCCCAAGGACTGGAAGCTAAATGTGATCTTAAGCAAGTCTCATCTGTATCCAGGGGTTCCCTTTCTTACATGAAAATGGGGAGGTAAAAACGCTGCCTTGCTGACAGTGCTGAGAAAAATGCCTGAATGGTTCTTTTTATTGAAGACCATCAAGATCAGCTGGCGACATATTTTAACTTGGTGCATCAATTCCTGGCTAAATTAGGGAGCTATCTATAGCTGACCACAAATGCTCAGCTTGGTTATTGATTCTTAACAGGATAGCTGTCCCCAGAAGACACGGCTTCTGCCATCTGCCATTGTTGTATCCTCCACTACTGAGCAAGGTGCCAGGCACATGTTGGGTAGTCAGTAAACATTTGCTGGATTCAGTTGAATTCAGGGGTTTCACAGACTTCCTGAAGTATTTAAGCTATTTATGCTTAGCCATAAGACATTGCTATCTTCAAGTCAAAACTGTGCAAACCTCTGCACTTACATAGAGTTCGTCCTAACATATTAAAGTATTAAAAATAAATGTCCATGAGAAACATGATGAAAAAGAAATTAAATTCACTTGTGACATCTCAAGTGTCATCATTGTTCATTAAATAACTCCCTTTTACTCAATTTGGTGCCACACTGTATTTCTCACTCTACCACCTCAGAACTGAGCAGTGCCATAAACGTGAGATGGTTTTGCAGGGTATACAAAGCAGTTTTCTTAAAAAAGAAATAATCAAGATTCTGTACCACTTCTGTAAATATGAACTAAAAAAAGCCCGGAGTCATCTTAGTTTTCCTCTTCCCCCTTCTGCTATGGTTTTATCTTATATCAAGAAAATGCTTCCCTGTGAGAAATAATAGTTTGGGGTTTGGTTTCTTGCTCCATTAATAAGAGATTTTTATCTTATTTGTGTGGCTGTTATACTAAAGTGTATTTAAATCAGTGTCCTAGGGCCTTATCTCTTCTCAGCTGGTGTTTTTCATGGTTTGATTTTCATCTTAAAGGAATGGTTCAAAATGCCAGTTACACAAAATTGGTGCCATTTTAAACCTATGTTTTAAAAAGGTAAGAAAAGGATGATTGCAGTCAAGGCAAGATGCCGAGATATCTTTTTGTTTCCCAGAAGGAACTGAAAGAGAGAGAGATGACCTGAGGTCTCATAAGAGTTTTCCATGGATGGGGAGGTTTTGAGAGTCACTTCTTCAATCCAAGGAGCAGGAAGAGAAAGTTCATACTGTCCCCCTTTGACTCAGAAGGCCTTAATGACTCAGACAAAAGGTCACTTTAAAACTCCTTTTGGGTATCTGTGAAGGAGACATTTTTCTTATTGCTGCTGATTATGAGGATTAGGTAAATTCCTGTTGAAAGGCACTTTGAAGATTTAAGGCTAACTTGAAATGTTAATACAGCATACTTCTTTTGGAGGAGAACTTGCTGACATAAAAAATACCCACCCCTATATGCATTTGTATTTTAATGGGCCTTGGAAAATGTTGAATGTTGCCTTGTGAATTATTTCCCAAAGTACTAGGCTATTTAATTTTTCCCTTTACTGTGCTCTAACACATGCTCCCATATTGATTCATATCAAGGAACAATATGCTATTTTACATCAAATGATATATTTAGACTCATTCTAGGACCTTCTAAGAAAGGCCTTTGTCAAATTCTGACTCTTGAACACTAATCCTGTCAGTAGGATCTTTACTGCAACTCACAGATCAACTATGATCCACTCAGTGTTCTCATTGAGGGAGAAGTCCTAGAACATACCTTCTGGAATGTTCCAGCAATCTAGAATCTAGCCAACCATAAGCAAGAAACCTCTCTTCCCTTTGAAAGGATACATAGGTGCAAAGGACCAAATTTTCACAGGATGACTTAAGAGCAATAAATTATCAATTGATTTTCTGCCAATGTATTTGTCAATGTATCAAATTGTTGTAACCTTTAGAAATACAAAGGTACATTAGATGATCAGGTTTCCTACATTTGGAATAAAGCTGTTAACAATTAAAATGATGAAAAACATATTTTATATATATATATATATAAATTGTATGGACCAAAGTATCAAAATATCATCTACTTTTTCGTATGTGTTGAATATATCTATGCCTCTGAGTTCTCTCCCATTTCCTTTAGTGATAATACATGGAAATTTGTTCCATAGGCAATAAAAGCCCTTATAGTTTAAAACAAAAGCACCTTTGGATTTCTTAGTTATGGGATGTAAAGAATTAGGTTATTTCTAAAACTATCATGCTTTGTGTAAATTAAACCTGCTAATATATGGTAACAGTAAATTTTTCTGTCAGGACACATACATACACACACATGCATGCACATGCACATACTGTTTTTGTATCTAAGAAATGAAAATGGTATCAGATTTTAGCTTATTTTTTGGAGACAAGGATCTTTGAATACTTTTGTGAATGTGAATCTGATGAAAGCTAGACCCTTTCTCCAGAAAAACAAATGTACATGTGGATAGTTACAAAAATGGTTCTATGCAATTTCAAGAGGTTCCTGAATCCCTGAAGTCTATTCATGAAAAACTTGCTAAGGGACCCTTAAAAGTCCCACCTTAAATAAAGCACAATGATATAGCTGCAAAGAGTATCAGTTTGTGTTATTTTATGAAGCTCACTGAGATCTCTGAGACAAGTTCTAGAATGGGTTATCAAACAAAAACTGTATGCCCAAGGGAACTATACATGTTATTACTGCCCAGCTATGTTGATTGGCTAAATGTCCAGGGTGAAACACTGTCTATAAGGTATATCTGCCCCCTCTCCAGTCCTCTCTCCCTCCCTTGCTTTTCTTTATTTCTTCTGTTCACACCTTATTTTCTAAGTTACATTTTGGTCATAGGATATTTTAAAAACTCTAGGGAAATTCACAAATTTAAAAATTAGAATCTATAGTATATGACTTCATTAGGAAAGAAAAAGCTTTTTAAAATATCAAGAATGGTAATTTTATAATTAACAATATAAAGAAGGCATTTTTCTTTGCAGAATCCATGGCATTTCCATCCAGCTGGATTCATATGGCCCACTATACCATTTTCTTCATACCCATAAAAAATTAATATAAAATCCTTTGAAGATCCTTGCAAATTTATGCCTTGTTTAGCTAAACCTACCCTCAGTGATTTTTTTTGTAAGTACTTATTCTTTTGATTTTGGGGAAAAGTCAGCTAATTCCTTAATTGATTGAAATAATTTTTCATTTTCTACCATAACCAAATAGTTGCAGGAGTTCTCAGAGACTTTCCATTAGAATTCAATTTTAGAGCAATACCCAGTTGCTTAAGCAGAAGGAGGCAAGATGCTTGCCACACTCTAGCTTTTGCAATGCTGGAACTAGAAGCATGATAGCCTACAAAAATGGGAGAGGTAAGAGTTTTAGCAGCTACATTCTAGCATCTTAGGTTGACCCAGGGCTTTCAGATTATACACGGAACCCCAATTAATTGTTCTTTGCAGAAGGTAACTTCTTGGATTTTTGTCACATTTTGTACTGACTTCTGACTACTATGCAATTTAGTCTGGGCTCCCAATAAGGCAAAAAGTATCAGAATTGTTTAAACAAAGACTGGGTTCGGTATTTTGAGGAAGGGAGGCCACAGAATGTAAGAATGTCATAAAATTCCAAAAGGCTTTTTCTTCTCTCTGTCTCTCTGTGCTCACATGAGACCCTAATTTATGATCACTGCAGGCAACTGTGAGAACATTTGGTGTGTTGTAGTGATATATCTGGATAATTAGAATTTTGATCAAACTAATACTTTGGTTTTATGTCAAAATATTACCATATGTGACCTAAAATGCCAATAGGTCTAAGGAATAATTTATTTGACACTGGAAAATAGTTCATATCTACAGGGAGATGGAACATGGACAACTGATCATTAGCTAAGTCTTAATGATCAAGGCCACGATTATGTGCTTATTATATTTTAGGTTATTCAGAAAGGAGAGTTCAAACTCTATGGGAGAAATGACTTCCTGAAGATCTTAAGCAATTCAAAACTGAGTGTGTCAGTGGTGGGTAGACCTTTCTGTTTATCAGCTAAAGCTGCATAGCAATAATGTGAACACAGTTCATTCACTGGCCTTGCTGGCTCTGGAATTATGTGATTCTCAGTGACCTAGAAGTTTGTGCAGAAAATTCATGGGCTTTGAAATTATGTATATAGTGAGGCTTTATCAGTGTATTTTACGTTGCACAATTTTAAGTTTGCATAATTAAAATTTGCATAAAATTATGAAGCATTGAGCATGCCTCTTCATCTAACTTTGCACTTGAATAACCTGGTCTTTGATTCAGTAGTTGACTCTACCAACAGAACAACCTTACACAGACTTGGGGGACATTAGCAATTACAATAGTGATGGAAAGAGAAGGAGTCAAGCTATTTGCCTCATTTTAATTGATACGTTTTGATGTCTATTTGAAGTCTGCATAATATCACAGCTTTTCACAAACAGTTTTACAGTTAGATTGTTGATGTCCTTAACTAAGGATGAGGCATTTAGTGCATCTCTTCTGTGGTCTAGAAATTGGGGCATGGATTTAATGAAAGTTATATAAAGCTGGTAATCAGTTGTGTTTAACTGTCACTACTCAAAACTATTCTTGTTTATTAAGTTTCAGGTGCTTCATATGAT